ACCTTTTTTTTTTTTTTTAAAGCAGAGGCATAAGAAACACTTTTAGGATTGAAACTTTTGAATCAATGTTAGGAAATAAGTCCTATACATATGGATTATTTTCCTTTATAAAGTTTTTATATTCGTCTCAAACCAGGAAAATGAAAAAGATTATTGATTAAATTGAAATTAATTAACATTTCCAAGATGGTAGTGAGAATATCTTTATTCATTTTCTTCAAACTAATATTAAAAAAACAAGTAAGTGGACAAAATTCTTTCTGTGTTATTTATTTAAGCAACACATCTACAATGGTTTTCATGGTTTGGTGAAGAAATAGATACACAAACTCACTGGTGAAATAAAACAAAAGTTTCATTTTAAGTTGTGTTTTATGGAAGGACTATGAAGTATGGTTATCTTTGAGCACCAAGGTTACGGGTTATTACAGTCTATGTTCATTTTCTTCTTAGCTCCTTTCTACATTTTCCAAATGCGTCATAATAATTGTGTTACTTTTGTAATCAGAAAAGAGACTCTTTTAAAAAGAAATGTAACATTAAATTAAATGTCTAAAATTTAACACAGTATACCTGTTCTATGTCAATCTGCTTATGATTTCTATATGACATCAAGTCATATAGAAAAGCCTTGCAGATTTTTATTTATACACTAGAACCAAATGATTTACATTGTGATCACATTGGTCCTCACCTCTTTCCATCCAAAATGACAAGACTGGGCCAGTGTAGCATATTTTGGCAAGCAACATTAAAAATGTCATTACCAAAATGACTATGCAGGTTTTCATCAGACTTAACAGAACCACAATGAAAGGTCAAASCAAGGAGAAGCTGACTGTTAGAAAAACTTAGCCCTAAAATGGTTCATGACAAATGCTTTCAGGTTACACAGAAAAAGCTTGAAGTTGCAATGTGATAGCAAAAAGAGAGATTTTCTTTATGACAATTGAAGTGTTTATGCCARGGATTTGAGACCTTTGGATGAAAGTTATTAAGTAAATGCTCCACGACATGAACCTTGTACATCAGCCTGTGTAGCGTAATTATAGTTTGCTTCCAATCATCCAAAGCCTTTCTGTGTTTTCTGGTTTGGGCTTCTTAGCCTTTTAAATTAGTTCTGAGTCATTAGGCTTTCACCCTAGGGGCAACTCACAAGCTCCATAAAAGAGCTAATATTTTTCTTAAATATCTTTGCAAGTCAAAATACCTGTTTTTTAGACAAAGAATGTAAATTCCCATAGTTAAAGAAACTAAATACTTGTTTTTCCCTTTTTGCCCTCCATTTTCTAAAATGTCTTATTTATAACACAATAAAACTTAAAAGAAACTCCAATTTATAATTAAAAACTAACTGAAGGCCAATTATTCATTACAACTGGAAAGTCTGATGTGAAGAGGGTAGTTGGGAGCAAGGTGGTATAGACACTACTAGGATACCAACCTTGGACCAACTAACATTTTGGGCTGAATAATTCTTTGTTGTGGGGGTATATCCAATCCCTTGCAGGATGTTCAGCAACATCCTGGCCTCTTCCATTGGATGACAGTAGCGCAGAGCTCCAAACACCAAATGTGACCACCCAAAATGTCTCCAGACACTGCTAAAATTCTTTAAGGTAAAAAATCATTCTCTGTTGAGAGCTACTGCAATAAGCCAAAGACCCTACAAAACCAATCCCTTTCTATGAGAAATAAATACAGACACTCACTCAAGTTCCCTTCTTTTTTTTTTTTTTTTCCTGGTGGTACTAGGGATACAATCCAGGTCCTCTTGCATGCTAGGCAAGCACTACAAATGAACTATATCCCCAGCCCTGTTCCCCTCATATTCTTCAAGTTAAAGCCTTTGACTATTGTCTAGGATTSGTCCTCTCAATTATATGTGGCCAATTTGGCTAGGGAGGAGAGAAGCAGTCACTGTTCACATTCTTTACTGAAATGAGTGGTCATTCTTTTTTTTTTTTTTAAATTTTTTAATATATATTTATTTTTTAGCTTTTGGACACAATATCTTTATTTTTTATTTTATTTTTTTATGTAGTGCTGAGGATCAAACCCAGCGCCATGTGCATGCCAGGCGAGCGCGCTACCGCTTGAGCCACAACCACGGCCCCAAGTGGTCATTCTTATCCCTTTTAATGTCCTTAATGTTCATAATGTCTTGACCTCTAATGCTCTGAACTATCCCTAGCTGCTKCTTCTTCTCTTTTTAAGAGAAGAAGGTCTTGCTATGTTGCCCAGGTTGGTCTCAAATTTCTGGGTTCAAGGGATCCTCCTGTCTCAGCTTCCCATGTAGCCAGGACTATAGGTGTATGTGACCACACTTGGATGTCCTCAGTGTCTTCATACTAGCCATGCTCTGCAGCCCTAGGTTCCCCATGAATATTGTTTCAACCGTAATTTTATTTAATTAACAATATTTATTCTGCCTCACAAGTGTTTTTCTCATTTGGCTCTTAAATACACAATTATGATCCAARTTCAAGATATTTATTTCCTGAAACCATCCTGAATTTTAGCCTATTAGTTAAAACCATGGGGAGAGATTTACAGAATTAAGAAAACAATTCTTTTCCTAAAATACTCAATAAAGCAACACATAACTTTTATTTTTATGCAACCTAATATACTTGAGGGATGTTTATTCTCCCCAGTACAAGTCATCTGCTATTTGAAGCACCAAAGAAAACAGCCAGAGGGAGCTGATTTCTTCTATGGAGAAATATCATTAAGTAATTCTTCCTTGTGGAGAACTCTGAAAAGTGGACCCATTACTGAATTCATAAACTCAAGCAAGCACCTTCATTTCTCCTAATCTGTTTYATCTTTAGTAAAATGAGAACAATGATATCTACCCTCCAGAGCTCTTATATTGAAAGCAATGACCTGTTCAAGCTCTAAGCTCCATGCCTGATATACAGGTATTTTATAAGTGACATTGTCTATGCAGCTTCCCTTCCTTGTTCCCAGCACTGGCTGAATAATTCATGGGGCTCCATGCAGATTAAAAATGAAGGGTCTCTTGCTTAAACATTTCAAGACAACAGCAGAACCTTAAACCAAGTGTGGGACTCTTCTAAGTGGGGCCTCATGTGACTGCCTAGGTTATTTATTCATATAGCTAGCACTGCTTATTCTCCAGCAGTTTCCCAGGGTCCACCTGTCTACCATCCACTATATGAAATTCCAATYTTCAAAACTGATCAGGAAATAAGGGCAACTGAATACCTGTGTGGTTTTTCAGTGTTGGCCTAGGTCTCTTCTAAAGGGACTGCTGTTTTCATCTGCCAGGATACTGCAGTGGTTTGCATCATCCTCAATCTGGAAGAATTAAAAAAAAAAAAAAAGCCCTTTTTTAGAAGTAACAGGACCCTTGATTTATAGCCCAAGAGGCACTTGATTCTAAAGCGCTTTATTTGGACTTATCAAACAGTATTCACAAAGAATGCAGGGCTATCTCTTAACAGGTGATTTAGATCGTATGCAGACTTTTAGGGAACTGCTACAGATGTCTAAGAAAGAGAAAGACTGGGTCWCCAAACCACTGAGCTCCAGCTCTCTTTCTATTCCTTCTTTATGGATGCATCAAACATGGCCTTTGTAGGACTTCTCAAGGTTCTTGCATTTTGTTTAATAAGCAACAGAATCATATGAAAAACAGAATGTTAAAATATGTATATACCTATATTAGCACAAATATACACATGTGGGTATACATGTACACACATAAATTTATATGTATATATTAAAATTGTTGACATGAAATAAGAATTCTTCTTTACCTAGTATGCATGAGGTCCTAGGTTTAATTCCCAATATGAAGAGAGGAAAGCAAAACCAAAACAGAAAGCTTYAGCTTTAAAGGAAATAAGAAAATAGCTTCTTAATCAAATATGAGTAACCAAAGCCTGGGAACATGGATCCAAGTTACCCTTAACGACATGAAATGAAAGAGGTTACATAAATAAAGTCATAAATCAATACAATTGATAAATACATTCGTGAAATGGACAACAGCAAAGCTTGAAAAATCTCTCCTATAGTCTCCAGATATTAAAGCATTCAGTGGAGGTTGGTGGTCTGTGACAATTAACAATTAATTTTGATGAGAATGTTAGGTCAGATACAAAGGTTAAAAGTAAATGGTTACAGGGCCTACAGTAGTCCAAGAGAATTTTGGCTCTTGACCTGCAACATTCCATCTCTCCACAATCATCCTGTTTTTAGTCAAGGTCGAGAAAGCAAGGAGGGGGGTGGAGGGGGAGGGAGGGTGGGAAGGAGGGAGATTGGTTTAGTTTTTCCTCTTTTGTAAGAAATACATGGAAAAAATTACCAACACAGAGGCACACATGACATCCTAATAGGAGGCAAAGAACTAATCTTGAACCTGCCTTCTGTTTCAGGTGCTTTAGATACATTGGAATATTAAACTACTTTGTTATTCAACCATTTTCTTTTTTAATTGGGGAGCAACTGAGACTCAAGAGCTGTTGCTTAACCTGCCCAAAGTCCCACAGTGAGCAAGACGCAGATGAGAGATTTTTATCTGACTCCAAAACCCATGTATCAGAGTCCTATCCAGTTTTGATGTCAAAAATTCAGGAATCCAGTATATTCCGGTCTCTAAGTAAAATAAACCCAATGCAACTTACAATACTTGCTAAACTTACATAACCCCCTTGTTTTTACTATAATTGACATCCTTTCCTCATCCCCATCATCACGAATCCCTCAGGTTCAGGGACTGGCCATTTTGTGAACAAGTGATCAGGTGAGCAAAGATAAAAAACTAAAATTTGTGCAGTATGTCTACCACCAAAGTCCTCAAGGGGGAAAAAAAAAAAAAGGGCCTTTCGGAATGTCACGCCCTCACTTCCGGCCTTGACTGGGCTGCGGCAAAGTCCAGCACGTGGGCCGCGCTCACTCCGGGCAGCACGCTGGTCGGCCACGACCCAGACGGCGCTAGGACCCCAGCGGCTGGCCGCAGTCGGCCCGCGGTTTCCTTGGCGACCGGGCGGAAGCCGGAAGCTGCGCTGYGGTTGGCCCCAGCGGCCCGGAGGAGCTGGGGGCGGAGCCCGAGGAGGAAAGTGGCGGCGGCGAGGAAGAGGACTGGCCCCGGCCATGGAGCTGGCGGACGCGGGGGCGGCTGGCTCTTCGCAGGGTGCGCCGGGGCCTGAGCAGCCCGGTGGCCCCGCCGGGTGTAAATGAGAAGGTTGGGGCGGGGCGGGCGGAGGCTGCTCCGGGCGGCGGCCGTTGGGACGCGACGGTCCCTGCCCCGCTTGGTCCCGTTCGTCTTCCCCACCTAGAATACTGCCCTTCTTTGCCTCGTGTTTCGAGGTCAGAACCTCGAGAGGGATGGCTTCCCCCAGTAGGAGTAGGGGAGGGCGCCTGGGGCCTACACGTGCGCGTCCAGGGTGCATCTCTACCTTCTGTCCACCCCTGGAGAGGAGGGGCGGGCTGGAGTCGCACGGCCAGCCTGGTGAAAACTGCAGGTGTTCCCTGGAGGTGTCACGTTGGAGCAGCTGCCCACAGTTCGCCTGCTTAGCAGAGGTCGAGTTCTGGGCTCAGCCCAGGTAGGAAGGGATGGCTCCGAACCTGGCCAGTCAGCTGTGGTCTGCTCCCTGGGAACCCACCTCCAGGGTCTCGCCCCTATCCTGGAGCGCCGGACTAAAGGATCTGAAGGCAAAGGCCCCTGTTTTTTTTTTTTTTTTTTTTTTTGGTCTGAGGGCAGGAGAGTAGATTTACAGAAAAGTGTGAGAGATTTTCCCAAATGTTAATATCTCACATGACCATGATGCATTTATTAAAATTGATATACTATATTCATATTTTGCCAGTTTTCCCACTGATACTCTTTTTCTGTTCCAGCCCACAGTGTAATACCACATTTCATTGATTGATTGATTGAAGTCTGGAGATATAACCCAGGAACACTCTACCACTGGGCTGTACCCCTCCCTATCTGTCTTATTTTGAATTTGGCAATCCTCCTGCCACAACCTCCTCAGTTGCTGGGATTATTGATATGCACCACAGTTTCTGGTTCAGCCCCTAGTTTTTAAAATCTATAAAATAATCATTGTTTCAACTTTGTGAATATTTATTGGCAATCTGTTTACCCAAGGTGCAGTTCTAGGCAGTGGGGTTTTAGCATTCAAACAGGCAATCTAGCTCTCCTGTGAAAGCTAAATAGAGTTCACTGGAACCCACAGATTGTTGTTAGTATTTTTTTAAAAAATATTTTTAGTTGTAGGATGGACACAATAACTTTATTTAGTTATTTTTTAATGTGGTGCTGAAGATCAAAGGCAGTGCCTCACTCASGCTCTACCACTGAGCYACAACTCCAGCTCCTAGATTGTTATTTTGTATTTCAAATTTTCTTTCTTTTTTGAAATTTAGGGACAGGTCACTTGGAATCATCTTTAAGTTGGTGGACAATTAACATTGTTTCAGCTTTTCTGCCTTTTCTGGTTTAGTTACTCTATACTTCTAAGTGATAGCATTGCCTTTTGCATCATTCATTGATCAGATTTTTCCCTCTCAAATTACTATACTGAGAAAAATGTAGTGCACAAAGATATGCTAATTCAGTAAACAGGACTGAAGACCCTGCTGTAGAGTTTCATGTGATTTGTAGCTGCTTTGACAAATAATAAATCCAAGAAAATAACTTAAAACTACTCTGTGGATTCTTTCCCAGATAAAATGTTTTTAGAAAGTGTCAGTTGCTCAAAAATGATTTACAGCCTGAATATATGTATTTCTTTTTTGCATATTGTGCAGCAGTTCATGATCAAGTGGTGCCAACACAAAATTCTTCATCCAGAGTCATMATACATGTGGATCTGGATTGCTTTTATGCACAAGTAGAAATGATCTCAAACCCAGAATTAAAGGACAAACCTTTAGGTAATTATTCATATTGATAGTATTTTTGCTGTATAATGATAAAATGGGCTACTCTTTATGTCACTGTATTCTGATTTATTAATTATGTTAAGAAAGTTTTTTTGGAAGTCATTTTTGCCCTCCATACTAGGT